AGCTGTAAAGCCTGCTGAACTAATTGCTTTTGCTTCCTTTACCTCATTCATCTTCATTCTTCACCAGTTACAGAAAATTATCAATATTCTCTGTTGTATTTCATCCTTAATCCCTTTTTTGTGCAGCATTAGGCACTGCCAGATGATTCCTTGGCAGGAGTCAGGGTGAAGAGCCATGAAAACGCCACTTCTGGCAGATGGCATTGCTTAGAAGAAGTATGACAAACACATGCAATTTGTTAACGGGCCTTGGTACTTGCTAGGAATATGAGCTGTATTAATCACCCAAGTGGCATCATGGTATGGTAATGTGGCAGGTTGGGCTTCTGGAGAAGACAGAATTGTCACTGAAATACTGTCTGAAATAGTCCCATCTACCAGTGTTCCAGTTGGCAATCACAATAACGATGACAATAATAAAGACTTAACACTGCCCTATTCTCTTCCCTCCTCCCCTCATTCCCCATTCTCTATAGAACAACATTCGTTTTATTACGGCTTCACCAATTTTCTTTTGTCCAACAATAGAGCCAAAAAAACACACATTACCGTAAAGAACCAAAAGAATGCAGCACAGCATAACATCTAAACTGTTATCAAAGTATGGGTTGAGTGGGTGAGTGCCAGCCAGTGCCTAATTGCAAAAAAAATACATTCGATCAATGTTTCGGAAGCAGCCTCTTTAAAAACATCATTGCAGTTTTTATATTTTCAAAAGCATATCTGCTGGGCAAATGGGTATCGTGCTTACATAGCAATAGTGAAACATGAAAGAGGAGACTTACCACATTATAATTATAATAGAGAAATCATTTCCTTTTCTTAAAAAAAACACAATGGGCACGAGGTCTACAAATATCAGCACCCGGCCCTTGAACTGAATGAGTCTCTTTATCCATGAGAGGAAGTTGTGCGTTATCAGACTTAAAGATGTACGTCAGTTAATATTGGACAATTTCTTAGCACACTGCACATCGCTGCATAAACTAATTCCACTGGTTCCATACAATTTCCTCTGAGGACATAACATTTCATTTGATAAACTGCACTCAATGCAGATCTCATCTTAAGCAACAGCATTTTACCACGTTATCACACAACTGTTGAAAGAGATGGGCACAGTCACAAATTCAACTGTACCTCAAACTAAACTGAAAAGAAAATGTATAAAACTACTGGATTATTAGTTGCAAATAATAAATTGATCTTCCAATAAAACTGAATATTGAATTTCAAGGATTTAATCGTTTAAACTTGTGCATAATTTAGTTTCGATCATTATTTAGATATTCACCATTTAGGAACACATGAAGGAATGTTGCGAGTAGAAATGCGGCCTTTCATAACAGATCTGATGTGATAATTATCACATTTCATTTGGAATATTGCATTTTGCACCCCAGTTGTGCTGTTGGTTCAGTTTAATGTAAAATACTTCAATTAGAAATGGACTGGAGCCTATCTCAGAAATGAAGGGTAACAATTACACCGGAAGCCTTCCAGGCAAGAAGATGTTTGTTGAAATTTCTGCAGAAACACAAAAACAAAGTGGGATCAACATGATTTTGCCTGAGGGGCTTTGTTTCCAAGCTACAATCCATTTTCATTTTTTTTATATGTCCCAGGAAAACTAACATTTATGGCTTAAATCCATAAAACTTTAGATTTGTATTGCCATGGTCTATGTAACAGACAAAACACAATCTAAACATTAAAATGCCATTCCATACCCATAAAAATGTTATTAAAAGTAATAAAGAAGCATACATCTACTTTCTGTATTTCAGAAATGAAGAAAGTCCATTATGTTTCTGTATTTCATTTCACAGAGGCAACATGATAGAATTATAGTGTTGTGATTCATCTGACTTTTAACTGTCATTTTTGGGTGTAATGAAATTCAATGAAATGTGTTTTTGAATGCTATAATTTCTAGACATTGCTTGGCAAAGTGCTTTGCTGTTGAGTGAAAGCATTAGTATATACAAGCAATCCTTCACCTAATAGATCCTGAGCTTGGAAGAAACACAGTCCAGTCCCTGCAATGTTAGACCATCTTTGTACCACTGAGGCCAAGCCTCACTATGCACTGTGCATTCCTAGTGACACCTTAAATAAGACATTAACAGATCCAGGAATACAAGAGTCTTATCTTAGCATGAAGAATACACATTTCTGCTGGTTTCTAAAGTGCTTACAATGGGATTTTCCTGACCAGCATAATCTTACCACCTAGGACCACAAAGTTAATAATCTGGATTTATAGTTCCAAGTTGCCTTGTAACTGGAAACAGTGAGATTCATCCTTGAGGACTGATCCTTCAAACCAACTGTATATCCATTATCTGTATGTGTGTGGAGGGGTGGGGGGCAGGGGGCACCCAATTGTGCACAGCAACATCCTGCAAAGAACCATGAAGTGAATGACTGATATCAGCTACTTGTACAAATTGTCCTTTTTTCCTGTTCTTTTACTAAATCATTTACAAATTAGGAAATGCATGTGGCTGAGTTTCTTTGTGTTTCAGTAATCTTGAAAAATGATCAGTGCTTTTGAAAGTTTTTTTTAAGAAGTGTTTTTGTTGTGACGCAAGTCAGATTTCCAGCGTGTACGAGGCCAGCATCAGCTAGATATTTTGTTCCGTTGCCGGCCACAGGATTAGCAAAGACTTTGGTGTGTTTGAGGGAGAGGATCGGTGTGTTCAGAGCAATATTGGGCTCAGTTGTTATGCGCAAGACTTTTTGCAAAGTTACTCTGGTGTTTGCCAATGAAAGGAGTAAGAATTCAGCAGGATAAAATGTTAAAAATCCATTTTCGGGAGAAAACTCTCATTTTGCACATCAGTTCCTATGGCCAGTCCTTCCCTGGAAACACAAAATAGAGTAGTAGCTTTGCTGACTCAAAGCAGTACATATTTCGTTAACATCCAACTCGCTATACTTTGATAGGACAGTGGAAATACTGATAAAATACTAAGTGAACACAATTATTACGTCTGCCACAAAGTCTGACTTTTTTCTTTGAGACATGGTTTGAGGAGACCCCCCACCCACCTTCCATCCCAAAAGGAAAAAGAACTTATTGTCTTTAAGGTCAAAAGGTTATAATTAATATACCACCACAAGTATCTCTCTGCAAGCATCCAGTGAATTATAGATGTCAAGGTGACAGCACATTTGCCTCAGGTATTTACCAAAGCCATTAGTGTTGCTGCAGACATTCTCTGTCTATTAGGAATGTTCCCCTATGTAATAGTCAGAACTCTACAGAGAAGAAATTTAATTCATATTATCATCAAAAATAATCAGTCTTCAAATCTGTAATGAAAAACACCACCTGCTTGTTTACCCATAGATCTCTCTCTGCATAATGAGCAATCTCATGCACATTGATTTTAAGATTTCTCTATTACCAATTTAATGTGTTCCCATTTTAAATACGATGCACTGGTATGCAATAAAAATATTAATTTCCAACATGACTACTCCACTGAGCATCAAGAGGACATTGTGTTCAAATACCTGAATGGGTAGATTGCTCTAACAACACTTTAAATAATTGGAAGCAGAAGATTGCAAATATCAAAATTTCTGAGTCAAAGCATTTTAAACAAATTGTTTCACTTTGTGGTACACGTTCCTTTTAATCCTGTTTATGTATGAATCTGGGATATACATAAAAAGGTGAATCATGGATAACCTTATGAATATTAAAACTGGATGTTGTTACTGATTACATATAGATATAATGGATATAGTAATGTCATTCAACTGGGTTTTCAAAACTTTCCTTTGGATATTTTTCCTTATTTACCAACTGCCTGTATTCATTACTATAAATATCTTCATACTGTGCATAGTATATCTAAATAAGAAGTTAAAAAAGTGAAATATTTTTGTTTCCGCCACATTCTAGAAAGGGCAAACACTGGATACGATCAGAAATAAAATCCATAAATATCAGTTTGTATCCTAATTCTTTAATCTTGCTTTATTTTTCACACGCCTAATATAAACCATTTGCCAACAAATAGTTTATACGGAGGATGAGTTTTGTGATCAGAATACTGAGCACCTTGTCAATCCTTGACTGCGTTAGTCCAATTCATTGGCCCTAAGAAAGCAGTGGGCATCTGCACCCAAGGCCTCAGCTTGTGAGAATGATTTGCTATTAATTCTGAAATACTTGTTTTCCCAGTCCATTAAATAACCTTCCCCCACCCCCATAAATTGAAAACTATATAACGGGGAATAGAGTGAAACAAAGTCACAATTTAGTTCTGGATTGCCGTTTTAAATGTCAATGAAAAAATAGTAAAGTAGCCCTTTCAAAGTATTAAATACTGTTTGGGTGTTGGGTGTTTCTGTGTCCATAATTGCTACTTGGCTACACCACCTTTTCCTCAAATATTATTTTAAAAGTTGATTTTAGATTTTATGTAAAATGCACATGGGCATTAACACACTTTCCATGCAAGTATGTTTTTTTTTAATTCTGACAATTTCGAAAATTGCAGATAACCCCAAAAAATGGGTTATTTTAGATTCACGCAGCTTCAATAGAATTGACTACAGATCTTTGCCTTAAATACATAAAGAGAAGAAAACTCCCCTTCAGCAGATAATAACCACTATACACCTGAAATCTCAGAAACTGTACAAAATTGAATGAAAGCTCACTGCAATTTCAAACACCAGACTGTGTCTTGGTTTATGATATGCCTTTTCTCGGCTCCCACGCTGTGATTTATAACACCAAATACAGAAAATCATCAGAAGTAGTTGGAGTCACTGCTGCTAAAATCCAGAGAATATAATGACTAATGTCCTAAAAAAAAGTTCTGTATTGAATATTAACTTGTGTTCTCTGTGCCTCGAATGAAGGTTTTTTTTCAGCTGTGCTCACAAACTCAATTGCTTAGTCTACTGAGACGAGGAGTAAATGTTCTCTCGTTGTTTCTGATTACCTAATTTATGATCCGTTTGTTCATGCACTTCAGGTGGAAGTGAATCTTCGTGGGACAAGGAGAAACTCCAGTCACCCACTACCACAGGGTCACAGCATGTAGTCAGCCACGCCACAGTGTCTGGTCAGCACAGTCTCGCAGCCACACACCCGCTTAGTCCACTCCAGCAGAACCACCTGTTAGCCAACAGTAAGCATGGTCCGCATGTACCTTTTTCTTAGGCCGGCAGAACAGGCCTGTGAGGACTTGCTAAGCAATTACTATATATGACTGTGTATCAGAGATAGAGAGAGAGAGAGAGAAGTGTGTTTATATGCATTTGTGTTGGGTTTTTTTTTAGTAACTGAATAACAAATCATATACTTGGATTAAAAAAAGTCATGGTATCAAACAAAATAATTGCAGAATAATTATCCACTGCAAATGGTTGGTGTTTTTAAATTGCATTTTACAATTGTAATTCGTATCTACCATCTTGTCCATGGAGTGCAGCCAGCGCAGCCACACGTATAAAATAAGAGTGTTCTGCTTATGGCACACGTTTCTTCGTTGATTCCGTGGAAATGCCTTCAAGGCCCCGGTGCTGGAGTAACACTAACCACCTCAATTCTTGATATCTTGATTATTGTGAATGCCATTCAATCAAAGATATTGCATGGTCACACTCATAAGGCAGTTAGAAACTGCTTTGATAACTTTTAAGGGAAATGCTGCTTAGCTGAGGGGTGGGAGTGAGCGAGAGATGCTTTAAATGCAAGGCATATAAGAGACAGGGCTCTTCATTCATAGGCAATTAGTATAACATCTGTGGGGCTCAGTCTATTCAATAGAATAAAGAAAGACTAGCTTTTGCTTAATTTATCTTTTAACCATGCCCCTTCATCTTGCTTACTAAATGGAAAGCCTCTTATTCATCAGCATGATGAATACAACTCTGGATTTCTTTTGAAGGGTTGTTGAGCATGGTCTGATATCAAAATAAATCTACTTTTTTGGAAGTATGGAAAAGGAGTCAAGAGATTCTGCTCACAAAGCCCAATAAAAAGATGATTAACAGATCGCCAAAACATTACTCAGAGTGGGGTTAAAAAGAATGAAGACTTTTTAAATGTCTTTTGACCCCAAAAATAGCCATTATTCTGGCCATCATAACTAATTGCATGACTGACTTGCACACTTATCAGATCTGAAGAAGAATATATTCTGGGTAATTATTTTGTTTGAGCATTAGATTTAGGACAAGAAAGTTCTGAATTCAATTGCTCTTGTATCCTTCAGAGATCAATAAAAAGTACCAATGCTAAAACATTCTCCTAGGAGGCAGTAATCCAAGTCATTATTGATAGTTGAATGGTCTCATCAATACGATTTGGAAATGTAAGCATGTCTACAACCCTGTAAGTGAAAGGCCCATTGGGTTGTTGGTTAAGTGTCATGGTTACCATTACTTAGCAAAAGTAAAGAAATTAAAAATGTTAATATTGTGCAGATAACTGAATTTAACTGTTAGCTTTCTCTCCACGCACGTAGTTTTCAGTGAACTCTTACTTAATATATATTGTGCAAAATGTATCAACAGCCCAAGTATTATACTCGTAAAATATAGAAAATTTAATTTTCAGTGGCACGTGCAGCTCATGTGGAAGCCTATATCAAAACCTCTTGCATTTTATACATTTAGCACCTCGTTTTAATATTACATAAACCATTTGTCCCCAGCACAGGTTTGGTGAATGTTTGATGGTAGAAGTCCTTTATTGCAAATGCCTATCAAAATTGCAGTACATCGGTTTTCATTATTTGTTCAGAATTATGCTGGGTTTAAAGTGAGTCATTCTGAGGTTGGTTAGAATAATCGCTGGTTTGCTCAGAACACTTAAACGCATTGAATAAAGCAAGTAAGGGCATAAACAGATTAAAAGAGAAAGTAACTTTTTCCAAATGCCTTAAGACCAGAGGTGTTCTACGTGATTTCTTCTGCCAATGTCCATCATAAGAATGAATTTCAAAATGCTTCTTTGGATAATAGCAAGAGCCAACAGATTATCTCCATGAAGAGGTCCTGAAAGTAGGCACCAATAATGCCAAAAAATCCAAATAGGACAAGGTTGTACTGAATCAGAGTTATGGGTAGGTAGGGGTAGTGTTTTGCGATCATTTGTACTGGATGTTCCTCATTGGCAGCATTTCTATTCTGCTGTGAGCTTGCCACCAGTTTGGGTATCAGGTTTACATGTTTCTCTGGAAAAAAACATCTGTGTATAGGGAATAGTGTTTATGTATTAGTCATGTCCCATGTATGTATTATATCCCAGGTGGAGGTGGGTGGGTAGTTGTCGGAGGAATGAGTATCTGAGAATGAAGTGAGTGTTTCTTGGATGTTAAGGGATCTATGGTGGGACTGTTGCACAAACTTATCTTCCTTCCTATCAGAACACAGCATTTTCTGCAGGAGCAAATGAATCAATAACTATATCTAACAACTGGCCAGAAATATTACAAAATGCCCTACAAGTGTAATCCAATACTTATTAAAGGACTGTTATAGACATATCCATATTTCTATTCTTTTTTTAAAAAAAATTCCTATCGGGCTGTCAGATTTAAAAATTTTGTTTGTTTCTTTAGAACAACCACAATCTCAAATCTGAGAATCAATTATGTTAAAACAAGAGTAAAGTCATTTTTAACAAAGCAATGTTCAGGCCTAATGGTTCGGTCGTATGCAAACTTGTTTTTGTGTGCTTTTTCCCCTCCCTCCAAAAGGACTAGAGTTGCCATTCATGATGATGCCCCACCCCCTCATCCCAGTCAGTCTACCTCCTGCTTCAGTTACCATGGCAATGAGCCAGATGAGTCACCTCAGCACCATAGCTAACATGGCTGTGGCAGCCCAAATGCACAGTCCCCTTTCTCGAGCAGGATCTTCAGTGATTAAGGTAAGACAAATGCCACTGCAATCCACACACTGCACAACGGTTGATTGGTCAGTATTTGGTTTTCCTTTGTAAAGTAAGAGCATACTGTTTAGGCTGGCGATTGTTCTGTGCGGAGGTGTGGAGTATTATTTGGTGTGCAGTTAACCTTAAAAATAGGACTACAGATGGACAGCAGTGTGATATGGCGATTTCAGATTTGCAGATCATTTTTAGATCCAGCAATAGAATGCAGAATCACATTCGGCTCTACAGATACTGTAGATTGCTGTATCTCTGCTTAAAAGAGCAGCAGTCGTGTTTTTAATTCTCTCAGCTGCAGTTCTGGTGCAGAATTTGGCCTCTGAAATGCAAGCTTCCTGTTCAATGTTTGCTGATGATTACCGTGTGTATTGGGGGAGAGAAATAAGATGAGAGCTTCTCTTCGAATGAGTCTTAGCAACACAACATAGACATGTTAGTGTTTTAATTCTCTTAATTTTAGTTGATTTCCTTCTCACTAAACAATCCTTTTCCTCATTTAAATTTGGATTCTCAATAGGAAGTGGGCGACAACAAATTACAGTTGCATAGCGTCTTTCACATCAGGAGGACGTTCTGGCTTACCACGTTCCTATCTCAGTGTCTAAAGGCATCATCATAAGATTTCTGACTTTGCATTCCCCCTCTCCTCAGCCATTGGTGACACATGGACCACCAAGCTGCTGAAAGTACAGTAGAGTTGCAAAGCACTGGACAAACCCTTTGGCTCATATTCAAAAGCCAAGAAAAGGCCATGGGAATACTGGCAACAAGTCCAAATTATTGACCTATACGTTTTTTTTGAATGGATAACACATTTACCACCTGGTAGGAAGCATCTATATTCAGTGACTAGTTTTGTTCCCATCGAGTCAAACCAATCCAAATCTCTTCTCGCATTTCGTACCACTCAAACTTATGCTGATTAGATCTCAGAGCAACTTCGTCTCAGAAGCTTAACATGAAAGTTTGCACTGTGCACTAGTCCAGCGGTGAAACCTGAGACTCTTGTACTACAGCACCAGTATAGCGTCCTTCACGTGAAGTGGAGTCTCAGAGTGCCTGACAGTAGTGGGGCTCAACGTTGAGCCAGGGAGAGAGGGGAGGTGACCGTAGGCATGGTCCTCAGGTGTGATCAGAACCATGCGAAGTTAACCTTATCAAAGTGGAGGACAGTATTTATCCTTTACTAGCTTAGGCACAATGTAGGAAATGTCCTTTAAAACAGTCTCTAAGGCAGCCTGAAGCTTCAGCTGTCATGTAAAAAACAAAGAAGCAAGAGGGTTTCCCTGCAACTCTTACATTAGACCTGTGTAAGAAGGCCCCAAAATGATGGGGAAAGGATCAAATGTTTAGGTACCAAAAGTCTTCCTCTAGCCTTTACTTGAACATTAATACGGTTGCTATGTATAAAATATAAAAAAGGTGAATTTTAGATATAAGTTTAAATCACAAATTCGCAGGGTTTGAAATATTAATGCTTAGACAGAACACAATTAAAAACTCAAAAGTGCAGTAATGATGCATTAAGGACAAGGTTAGTTAAAAATTAATTCAATTCTGATTATAGGATCGCAGAATCTTAAAGGTCACTCACTGCTGCAGTCCATGTAGATCGTGTCCAGCTGGGCAGAGCTAGAGGTGTCAAAGAGAGTTGGTACAGCTCACATCTCCCAGACATTTAGGACCAATGTTACCCTTTCAGCTCTTCACATTGAATCCTGACTAAACTATACTAAATTCTTGTTACTTCCTATTTTGAGCTAAAGTAGAAAGTCTCATATTCTGAACTGTCTGTAACCATTTGTCTTTCAGTATTCTTCCCAATGCTGATCATTTTAACACTCAAACAGTGGAAGTAGTTACGGTAACATGAACACAACTTGTATCAGTACAGAAAGCCCTTTGCTGCAGCATCTTTGCTGGAGAGACACACAACTAATGTCAGCATCTTTAGTCTTTACAACTCTTGTTATTCCTGAAACAAACCCTTGGCCAGCCGATGAGAAATTAACTATAGCATCTGCAATGTTAGGTGACTTTTTAAATCTAGGTTCATAACTAGCAGTACATTTATTGTATAAAACCAAGATAACGGCTGGAATTAAAACCCTGAACATTGCAGGTAATTCCACTGAGAGGAATGAATCTCATTTTCTTGTTCGAAAGATAATCCGCTTGAACCACCACTCCCCTATCCAAACCTTACGCATCATTGTGGAGCCATTGGAGGTTGTCTGTATCAAAAATGGTCTTGGAAAACACGTTTTAGTATGTCTATGCACTTTCACTGTGCTTATACCTATGATTGCTTTCATCATTAAGCCTTTACTGCTTGGCTTAATGTCATGTCATTAGTCATTTGATTTATTTAGCAAATGATATAGTTACTTAGCAGATTTAAAACCAGCTTCCACAGAATAGTAGCTGCCTAATGAGGCACTGCTTGTGGAGCTACAGTAACAGAATGCATGTCCACTCATTAGTACACTGACTGATAATAGGTTTGTTTAGTTACACACTTAAGCATAATTCCTAAACTAGTCATGCCTTAAAATAAACAACAATACATTAAGACGGAGGCCCAGATTCATGTTTAAATTCTCCTGAGGTCTGATCATTTATTCCATGATGCCCTTCCATATTAGGGGTAAATTTATGCACTAGTTATACTTCACAATTAGGGTCAAGTTAATGCATTCCCTGCATCGAATCAGAATTTAGAAGTGCAGGATAACTCTCGTTTAAGTGACTTAGATTCTGTGACTCCATTCTTATAAAATCAATGGCATTTGCTGCTGTATGGTTCCGGGTTTCACAGCGGCTAATGCAAAGGGAGCTTTTGAACTTAAAAAATATTTATTTTAAAAGTTCCCGCATGGTTCATTATGCTTTTTGCTATTACAGAAAGCATGCGGCACACTTGGGGTGTGAATAATTAAAAAAAATTAACAGTTATTCAACACCATTGCACAACCAAACACACACACACACATAGTTCTGCTGTCCTAGAACTCGGTCCCAGAAGCAAGAATGATTCGGAGCGAAAAGTCCAACTGCATTTTCCTGCTCTACCAGACAAAGTAATGTTAAAACAACTGGAGCACGAAAATCCCATGTACCTGGAGTGAAAATTGCTACAATCTCTTCTAAGTAGTGAAGCACAAGTCAGTTGTGGTTGACCCCATTATACCAGTCCTGTTACTTTTATACCAGCGTCAGCCGAGTGGCTTCACTGGCTAATGGCATCACATGCGTGTAGAGCCTCAGCACTGATCCACAGATGTGACCATCAGTGAACAGCTGATGCTACACTGCTTAGCCACTGTGCTGCCAAGCAAGCCGACTGCCCTACACAGCAGCAATTGAACCAGGGGTAGGGTACAAAGCTCCACACACACACAGACCAGAAGTCTCCAATTACAAATTCTGGGTTTGCTCACGATTTCACAATGGAAACACAGTCCCGAGTGCTCATAGCGGCAGCTTTTTAGGACTCGATTTGCAATCTTTGGAAAGATGAATACCTCACACAAATATAAACATTTGATACTAGTAAGAAGTGATGGTGTATCCATTGTGTATGAAGAAATGAGTTTCTAAGATGGAATAAAGGGCAGAGACCTGATGAGGCAGAAGCTGAATGTTTTAATTAGTTTAAGGACCTTTGCTAAAGAATAAAAACCATGGATTCCGACATCATAACTGCAAGTGTCCTGACCCTTCAAGAGGACCCACAGTGTTACTTTTGAAATGTAAATTATTACAATGTGGGATTAATACCCATTCAGACTGTGTTAAATCAATAAAGAATTCACAAATGTCATTCATATTGTATATGCGGGATATCTGGGCCAGCTAATTCACAGTCTGTTGAACACAGGCTTATTTCCTGTAAGGGTCAAGGAAGTCACAATGGAAACTGATGAACTCACTCCCTTGGCGGCTGCATTCTGCCTGCCCCAAACTCTTCACTGTTCACCTTATTTGTGAGAAATGAAGCATGCAATAAAAACCCTTCCCTTGTTACTAACGTAGAAAATTGCATTCATTATTCAATGGGTAGGGCTAGATTTCATGGTTATGCAATCTGAGGTTAATACTGGCATGTCTTAGCTGTGCCATTACATCACACAATGGGAGTGTTCTATGTAAATACATTTAAACTACTTGAACAAAAACCTTTTGAAAGTGCTAAATATCCAGCTTTCCCCCCCCGCAGCATCAGCAGCAATAACAGTATGTGTTTGACTTGGTATAAATTTCATAGAGTTATATCAATTAATCTCATGGTTTGAAATGTCGCGAATGATCCAACTCACCACTAAAAGGTCATAATCTCTTGGATTTTTGTTTGCCAATAGGAGCGGGTTCACAATAGCCCATCTCCAGCACCCTCCCTTGAAGACAGTCACCGACCAAGAAGTCACCCCTCTTCACACCAGAGTAGCAGTGTGTCCAGTTCACCATCTCAACATGACATTGCTGCTGACAGAATATGTAAGCAAGTTCTTTTGCTGCCTCAACTCCATACTGTTGCACAGACCAATAATTCTGCCAGATCACAGCCTCCGAGTTAGGTCACTTGACCTCAGTTCTAAATCTTGCCTTCAATATTAAACGCAGTCTGGGTAATCTGTAAGAAACAACGCATTACTGGGTGATCTTACATAATTATTCATCTGATCAAGAGAGAGAGGGTAATGATTGCAAGGCAATAATTGCTTTGAGTGGAGGTCAGGTAATGATAACAAAGTTTGAGTGATGTGTAACTATCATCATGACCACAAGAGGAGACTGTAATCAAATTGCTAATGTTTTACTATAATATGTGATGTGTTTTATTGTGTTTTGCATCTTTTTTTTTGATGTGGTGGATCTCATGGTGGGCATCAATGGCAAACATGCAGCAGATAGTAAGTGTTCAGTGACAATAATCCCAGAGCAAGGATTGCAAAGCATGCATTGTGTTCTTAAATCATGGTCCATACCAATTAAATTTAATAAATATTCTAAAGCAATATTGCAATACTGAAACTATAAATATGTTCACGCTGCAAATAGGAATCAAATATTAACATTTCATGATAACCCTGGCAAAACCTAAACAAAATGTGTTGACTAAGGCATCACTTCCCAACAGCCAGATAGTCAAGATCTCTTTCATAGGTCAGATTTTAAACCTGCTCATATAATTGATTCAAATCCTGGTCAAAAATAATGAAGAATAATTGCAAAATTTGTTTTTAGAATTTAATTCTCAAATTTAAAACATATTGTCCTTGCTTATTCTGATTATTTTATGGTAATTTATAATAAGAATTATACAGAAGTATCAAAATTTCTCTATTAAAAATAAACTAGCTAATTTGTATTCACTTCCATAAGTAACCTTTTCTTCTGAACAAATAAGGATTTTTATTAGTCTTTAATGAAAACATCCTCGTGCCTTTAAGGAAACATTGGTTTCATATTGATTTATATTAGCTATGATAATATTTTCAGAATACAAAATAAGTCAACATTGATAGACTACAATTACTGAATATACAGTAATAGTGTCAGACATTTAGACCCTTCTTCACAGGGGCATTTTATCTGCAAATAATGGTAAAACAACTGCAGTGTAACGCAATGCCACGATACTGAACATTTCAGTGAGTGTTTGGTTTTAGGTAGCTGGTTGTTAAAATAACATTGAACTTTTGGATTTTAAAAAAAAACTGAGCGATAAGGAACTGGGATCTGGACCAAACATTACCACGCAATTTAACATCTAGGAGTTTTGTGGCAACCAGAAAGAATGTTAGCAGATAACATCTCTGGTAGTGGTTCAGACAAAGTTGTGGAATAATGTTACAATTCTTTGCAACAGCTGGCCTGCCTGGGACTAGAGACGGGGAGCACGTTGATCATGATAATGGACCCAATATAAAGAGAAGCCAAAAGGAGAAAGGTAGGGCAGCTTTCAAAACCAGATTTAATTAAGGGGATGGGGAGAGGACAAAAAGACCAATGGCATAGCATTGCCTTACTTTTCCCAATTCATCAAAAGTTAAAGTTCTTTGGTTTCTGGCTGTGACTTGGTATCATGTTCAAGTGATTATTCATATGTGAATCCAAAGGAATAAGGTTATCTTCAGCTCATTATCTGTGGTGGGCATCACAGCTGAGCCCAATAATGTCCTCATCTGACATCTCCACATGCTTACTTCCCAGCTGGGGTGCTAGGTTAATGATTAGATGTAATGTCTAATATTTTGATTTTGTTTCTAGCCTAGGGATACCAAACTGTCCTATACTACTGCTTTGGCTTAGTGGACTTGGGGGAATAACTAGGATGCAGATAAGAAGCCCTTTGATACAGCACATCTATGTTGAACTGGTTGGGTTACAATGTTTTAGAGAACATGTCTTTCTTCTTACTTATGGAATGCTCTCAGAAACTGGTGACGGGAGATTTGCTTATTAGAATGAGTGGCAGTTGATCTCCATCTGGAGCTGGTCAAATAATATGTAGATTTAGACCCCTCCCAGAAGGCTCATAGTTGTACCCTAAAAGAAAACACAGCAAACCTGCTGCCCAAAAGAAGGAAGATACCAAAACAGGAGAGGAAGGCCAAGATCAACACCTTGCTTTAAGCCAAGTGGCGACATGTAGAATGACCTTTAGTCAATATTGACAAGAACCCAAATTCCCCTCAGCCCAGCTAAACCCCAAAGACCACAGCAAACTAATTGCCTTGACTCTTAAAACAGTTTAACAAGACGTCAGTTGTTCTGGTGATCAGTACTTGCTAGCCTGTGTATCTTCACTTGTTACAGCTATGGGTTTCCCTGTAGTAAATGTCTAATCCATCACTGTCAGGCAGAATTATATCTTCTGGGAGAAAAGCAGGTGCAAACATGTAGAGTAACTGACAGTGAAACGAGTCGTATGGGTTTGTTTAATTTTGGGGCATAGCCCAATTTATCCTAAACATTTGAAAAGTTTTTTAAAAAAGTGCAGTTGAAGTGACTGAAGGATGTGACCTTGGCCCAGATGGAAAGATAGAGAGGAGGGACAATCCAGAAAGTAAGGAACTGCACTAATGAATAGTCAGTGTTTGCAAAGTAGATATACCATATGGAATTCATCAATGAAAACCCTTTTAAATTACGCACGTTGCATGTCAGATATAATTTGGATCAGATTATAGACATTTTCTGCAATAATTTGTAACCCATTCTTGTGATAAGTGTGAATTATTCTAGAATTCAAGCTCAATCAGGCCAGACACACAGATATAGGATTTTGTAGGATACATGCCAAGGTCTGAAGCCTTTGTTGTCACTTGAATCTTTTGTAGGCAGGATCTCCCATAGATGCATTCTGATTTTATATAATAAAATTATGTGTTCGCTTTTTAAATTAATGTGCAGTTGCATTGAAGAATGTGCTTCACGATGTGAAAAGTTTTTTTCCCCCAAAATATTTGCAAAGAGAATTAATTGAAAATTCAATGAGTCCTGTGTTTTATAATACACTGAATTTGGGTGTTTTGAAGCATATAAGGAATGGTTTACTTTGAAAACATAAAACCAATGCTTTATGAATGTAGAAGGCAGAGTAGCAAAGAAATGTGAAAATCAAAGATAAGATGAGGCTCGTTAGTCGGTATGCTTATTGCATCAATATGCAACAAAAGATTGATAAAATCTAATAGTATTTCCACATTGAAAGTTTGTACTGTGCTACACTATGTATTTTTTAATGAGTTATTTTGCATGGGGGTACTCACAGAAGTTCTAAAGAATTCAAAATTTGGCCAAATTGAAACCAGTGTGAATTGTCTCTAAAAGCAAACCGTGTTCCTGTTGCATACAGAATGCCATGTTTGATGTCTACCATTAGTTTTCCATTGTTATGCAACTAGAATCTTTCACTGGAGCAAGTCATGTTTGCGGTTAAGAACAAGGGTATCAAGGCTGAGTTACAGTGATGGGATAGTGCAACTGAACACTGGTGATCTCATGGTGGCCGTATGTTTTCTTATATTTTAATAATCATTTCTAAAAACCTTTCCAAATTCATAACTTCGGACCATTACTATTAACTGAAAGAACAGTCAAAGGTCAGTTAGAAAACAATACTGTTCGACTTTAAACACTAACAATTTGAAAAACGTGTTTAGGTCTCAATAAAGAATGAAAACAACACAAGAATCATGGTGGCAAAGAGTAAACTAGTTCCTTTGTAATTTTGTTGTCAGATTTGCTGTGCAGATCTCAGTTTAAACAAATACTGGCAGGCTGTTAGTTGGCAAATAGCAAGTATGTAGTAGAAATTGTCAACCTAGTGAAAATGAGATTTGACTGATAAATTTCTAGCATTCAGCGGCATTGACTTTGGATCAGCCACTGTGGAAATATGCCACTACTAGATGCATTATAAGAGAAAGTTAGGACTCCGAAAGAGCTCAGGGGGTAATAAATGTGGAACTGCACTATTCTGGGTTCACAGCTCACAGGCTAGAAAAGCTGATATTCAGTCAGCAAAACAATTCTGATCAATCTTTCAGATTGCTCCACAAATAGTTTTTTTTCATGATTGACAAACATGTCAAAGCATAAATGAAGATTTACAGTGTAAGCCAGGCTTCCATATCAAAAGTGCAGTGTAAACAACACTCTGCACATTTTGTGATGATTTGACCTTTATTTCAATGTACTGGACGGAGTGAGTAGGAAGCTTTGCTATGAATGAATGCCTTATTGTTGCTGATAAATAGATCATGGCATACATCAATTTAGAAATCAGCTTCATGATTTAGTTTTTAAAATCCAAAGATGAAAATGTTTGCAACCCTCGTGTTTGATGCATGCTAATTAAGCATATCACTATTCCATCTTATTTTACTATTGCCTTTCATCTCATGGAAATAATGACTTTCTTTTTTCCCCCCTCCAAGGCTTTGTTCTGGCGAGCACCCAAATGCATTTTACAGCCAGTTTCTGTAGCTTTTAACCCTGAAAGCTGGTTCCAATGCACTAACAGAGTGACGCCTGACTGGACTCTTGAAAAAATGCTAATTTCAACCAGAACTAATGCCTCACAGTTACTGCTATTTGGAACGGTTTATAGCAAAGATTAATGACAGCCCTGTGGCAAGTTTGAGCTCACATGCTTCTTTTTGTTTTAAAAAAACAGAAATTCCATGTATTAATATCAACAAGCTGCCAAGAAAGTCTTTGGTTTGAAATCACATTGCTTAGGGTGGCTAGGAAAAAGCTGCAAAGGGAACTTCAATCAAATTGTGTTCTCTCAGCTTACTTAGTTGTTTTAATTGATCTACTTTTCAATTCAAATGTAATGACCATTCTCATCTTGTCACTGTGTAAAAGGACTTGAACTAAGGAGCTTTAACTGCTTGTTTCTGTTTATTGCTAATAGAACTGTTTTCAGAGGGACACATTTATTTTCTGTTGTTTTCTCCAGTTTCTTCATCGACAGATATCCCTTGGCAATGGTGATGCAATAATGAAAATCCTTGCATTTGATAATAGCACCTTCCACATCAGAAGGACATCTCAAAGGATTTACTGAAAAGTCAATCCAATTTGCACACAGCAATGTCCCACAAACAGCAATGAAATGAATGATCATTTTTCTTGGCTCTCTGGGGGATTGTTGGCCAGGACACTGGGAGAAATTCGCCCATAAAATACAGGCACTCCACTTTACAATATATTGTATGGAGCACTTTGAGACATCTCAATGTTATGATAAGGCATTTTTTTCAAATGCAAGAATTATTATTATTATATTCTCTTTTTGAACAGTCACATGGAATCTTTAACACCTAATTGAATAGGCAAATGGGACCTTGGTTTTTAAAAAAACTTCGCATCCGAAGGACAGCATCTTGGACATTGCTCCCTCAGCACCGTACTGGAGAGTCAGTCCAATGCGAGCGCTACCATCTGAGCCAGTCTGTCACCTGACATCATTTAAGCACAAAGAGATCGTTGAACCACAATTTAAAATCATGTTAAAGTATCACACAAGATTTTAAAACAGCATTTTGATTGTACAATAGCATTAGTCAATTCCCCCCTCCCCACCTGCCCCTTACCAACAATGATTGTAGCTTGAGAACAAACTGAAGATTAAAATATGGCAAAAAAAGGCATCAGATAAAAACTTGCAGAATACATCTTGAAAGAAATTTTGGAATTGGGCCTCTGCCCATAAACTACTTTTGCACAAAATATCCAGGGCTTCACACAGGCTGAAATATCATGGCACAGTACCACATGATGTCTCGGAGCACCATGCTGCTTTCTATTAAATGCCATACAAAGTTATGCATAAGTGTGTGAGGGGAAAATTCCACTCAATGATTGTTCCAATATAACTAATGTGGAGCAGACGCCAGCTGCTGTACGTTCATTCTTCACTGTAAATCTTTAAAAAAATATTTCTTTTAAAATTAAAACGAAAGGAAATTTCACCAAACAAGCTGCTGCGGCTCACTCCTCAGCAGGATGTCAGCACAACTTTCTGCTACTTTAAAAGCCAGCGGAAAGTGCCACCTCCTCATGTATATTACAGGACACATGGTGTGTTGCTGTACTGGTAGAACATAAACCCAAACTGTATCCTCCTAGCCTAGTATGTCACTCAGCATGTGGCCACCTCTATTGATGATCTTCAGCCTTAAACTCTTTTCATGAATGGTTGTTGATCCAGTTCTTGTGAAAAAAAGCACAAGACTTTAAGACTCTTAAGACTACGGCAGCATTTAAAATAGGAATTGGATAAATACTGTAGAAAAATTTATATAAAATGCCACGGGCGGGGAGAAAGTAAGGGAATGGGATTCGATAAGGTTGCTTCAGTGGGGGAAACAGGTACCATTATAGGGGATGATGGGCCAAATGGTGCTAGTCAAGCTACCAATGGTCCCGTTTTGTGCTGTACACTTTCTACGATGAGTTTTAGGCTCTGATTGACAAAACTGAATTTTGTTGTAGAATCATAATGAAGGGCCAACTCCATTTTGCCATTTATTGAAATAGAAGAATGAAAAAGAAAGTCAGGTATGACTCAAGTTTAGCTTAGCTTCCACAGCTACATGATATGTTTCTTTGCAAACAGTTTTGAATTTAGTCAACAATATAGGATACATCTTCATTATTCTAATCCATTCAAACATTATTGAGATTTGGGTTGGTTCAGTTTATATTCCTAACAGTGGGGGTGAGTGGAAAAGTGGAATGGAGAAGATAGTGACTCATTCTAGAATTTGTTTGATGCCTGGGATATACTGAAGCCAGAAAATGTAGTGACTAATATCCAGCACAAATAAAACCCGACGGTTACTTTCAAGCTAATGGTTTTCACAATTTATCAATGTCACCTGAGCACAAGCAGACATGTTTTTGTTAACAAATCTGAATGAATTAGATTGTCCAGTAATTAAGAATGTTGATGAAACTCAACCAAATGTTGAAATCTGGCCAAGAAACAGTGAATGAAGCGTCCTCAGCATGGCAGAGAATAAGATGGTCAACATTGGAGACTTTGCAAGGCTATACCCAAAAGCTTTGGTAATTCCTTCCCCACTCGTACTTTACAGCAAGGGCCTATGATCTTCTGAATCCTCTCTATTAAATAATCTGCTCTGAGTCAGTCAGCACTCATTAGTCCAATTGTTTTTGTTGAATTATTCACTCAGGTAGTCACAAAACAAGTCGTTCCCTGGTAAATATTAGAAACTTTCCAGCATTAACATGGGATCGAGCGCAGCAGTCTTTCCTCAATCCTAGCATGTTTACGGTGGGAGCCAAAATCCTGGGTTGCTCACCAAACACCTTTTACACTCATGTACCATGATGGCAACTGCAATCAATTAGGTTTACCTATATTTTTTAAACCGAAACCATGAAAATTGCCTGTCCAAATACATGTCCTGTCTTTCGTAAATGTTCCATTGACACCTTTAGTACAGAATTCACCGTCTGTATTTAATTTAGCTGCAACGATGGGTGATGTCACTGCTAGTACTGTATTACTCTGACAGCTAGTACTGTATTACTGTAAGAGTAATATTTTCCCTTTAATACACTGGCAATCTAATAACGGTTGGTATTTCTATGCAGTGCACAAGCTGGCACAATCGTTCCATCCATCATGGGCTGTACCTAAGAACTGTAGTTAATTCAGCCTCAATCCAACCAGGTCAGGTTTTCCTGCAACAGTCCTTCTGCTTCTGTAACTTCAATTAAGAACAGTACCCATTATGGCACAATGTGAAGTCACAGGCAAATCTGAGCTCTGTAGCACACCCGATTCTCAGGTCACAACATGTTCAAATAAATACTTGTGTATTTCAATCCGAACGATTGATCTAAACGACAAGCAAACAAATTCATTTTAATGAATTTGGTGCGAGAACATTTGAAATCTGGTTTCAAGTTTATCTATACTCTATCCAAAGTAGGGGCTTTCTCCTTCTCCCTCCATCACACAAAATGAACCATTCTTATATATTCTCAAACGGGTTAGTGCAGTTCCAACAATAAATCAAAGACGCCTCTGCCACGATTCTAGTCTGATTACAGAAGAACATTTACTCTTTATTGAAGGAAATTTCCTAAAAGAAATGATATTATTTAAAATCTGGATTTATAAACAGATTTAAAAGTGACCTTATAATCAGTCTTTAACTTTCCATCTTGCTGCAACAGGAATCAAATATTTCACAACTGGGCTGCTTTTTTTAATTGCACTTTTAGTACTGTTATTTTTCTTAGCTGTACTTTTGCTTCCTAAAGAATGATACACAGAACAGACAAAACGTATTGCTCAGAACCAAGACCATATTCTGACCATCAGAAATATCAGTAGGTGATGTTACCAAGATTAAGTGAAGATTTTTAGATCAGTTTGTTAGATTGCAATATTTAAGAAATGTAAAATGTTTTGCTAATATACCATAAAAAAGTCACTTATATTCTGTATAAAGTTCATTCAATTCTCAGGAAATTTGAGGGGAATGGAGAGGGGGGGGAGGGATCGAGCAGAGCCTTCTTTGCAGTGTGAAAAGGTGAATGGTTGATGGCTTTGAAGTTGATAACTGGAAATCAAGTAACCCACCTGTCAGTGTACCAACTCAAATCTCACGACTCACTTGCCCTCTCCAATGCTCAGTGTCATGCTTCTGACTGTTCTAGATACTTTGCTTTGTTAATTAATACTTTCAGAAAAAATAATAGATTTTGAAGTATGGATGACTGCAGTAATTCAAGAATTTGATTTCTATTGTAATTTATACACAGGGAAAGAGGGATACCATCACGGAAAACTTATTTGGAGAAATTGGAAGGGTTAGTGGAACAATATGTGAAATAATTCTTTGAGCTCCATACCTGACCATCTGTTGCTCCCACTGTAGATCAATTCATAAGTGTTTGCAAAATATCAGCGGAAAAGTTGGGATTATGCATTCCAGGCTCATAAATTTTATGTCTAAGCTTCTGAATCTGGCACTAAATTTACCAGATCACCTAAACTTTAACAGATGACATTTAACCGTGTTCCTGCCTGGCTTTAATATCTTTCCTGGAACACTATATTGTTTCTGTATAATTTATAACTAAAGACTTGCGATGTAGACAAGCTCGAAAGATCAAGGGGTTGCCAGATATCCCATTGTTTATGGCAAAAAGCAGTTTAACACACTGCCAGTCACTTGCCTCAGTTGAGTGAGCTTTTTGCAGTTCTCCGCCAGCCTGGAGAATGGATGGTCATGCAGGGGTAAATTCTAGGAGACTGCTGTCCTGCCTTGCTAAGCACACACAAGAACACAACCATGGACACCATGGTTCAGCCAGCAATAATCATAGGTTTATAAACACATACACTCTGCACCAAACAGGGACTCCAGAGAAGAGATTTTATTACAGATCAGATTGGAGTTGCTATCTTTATGCTAATCAGATTATGTGAGGGAGTTCACAATGGTTGAAGTAGGAAGTGTTGATTCTGTCAAACAAAGATTAGATAGTTTTCTTTTAGGAAATAATATTATGGGATATAGTACATACATAGGGAGATATGTGCAATATGACTGTCAGGAAGGTGGAAGGCGAACTAGATGGACTTTGGTCNTTTTTTTGTCTAGCATTTCTTGTGTTCATGGCAAAATCTTTGATATTTGGGTTTAGAAATTCACTGATCATACAAACTCAAAGTGTTTGAAAATAAATTTAAAACCATACTGCATTTTCAACTTGTATTTTTAGGTTTGAATCCCAATAATCTTAGATTTCCTAGTGGGATATAAAAGAAAAAAGGAAAATTGACAGCGTGTTAGTCCAGGAACCCAGCAGTAATACAGAAGGGGCTAATGCTTCAGATAGCTGACTGGGAGCACAAACTGTGGAGGTTCTGTTGGGTAGGGGGTAAGGGAAAAAGTAACCTATTGCATGATGGAAAGGATAGCTCTAATTTACACTTTAAAGGTGGGAAGTGTAGGATGAGGTGGAGGGACTCCAGGATGGAGTGTTTAGGAGGAAATTTGGGGCTGGACTATTACACAGAGTTAAAAACATTATTTTCCACAAGATCGCAGGATAAATTTTTACATTCCGCGAAGGTGAGTGATTTTAGCAATGGAAAATCAAGCACTCCCAGACCAAGTAAAAACACATCCAGGTGCATGAGTCAAGTTCCTTCTACTCTGCTGGACCAATATGCCTTAGAGCATTGCAATCTACACTTGTATGGCATTTTTCATATTGGACATGTCATCTCTGTGATTATCAGTTTAATGCCAAATTAGGAGTAGTTTGAGCTGGAGAATCATGCCCACTAGGAATTGGTTTAATGTTGACCAAGCTTTGTTTAACATGGGTCCCTTGCAGCCGACAGTCAGAGAGAGACTTTATCCTGTCAGTCTATGCTGGATTCAGTCCAAAGCCTCAAAAGGTGAAAGTGTTCTAACCTCCTTCCCAAAGTCAAAATTATTCAAATGTTTCTGGAAATGGAATGGAACTTGGGATTTGTTAGTAAAGGCTGGGTGGTCTTTTTTTAAAAAAATGAAATATAATAACCAGCCTAAAAATGGCAATAAAGCTGAAATATAACCAGCTTAAAAATGGCAATACAACTGTTTTTCCTGTGTACTGCACATCGACATTGGAAGTAATATAAAAACAATCTTTTTCTTTATGACACATTGTTTGATACATAAAAAGGGAAGCAGGTATTTTGCAATAAAAGGTCAGCTCTGGAGGTTAAAATAATAATTTTGTTCAAATAAATTGCTGTACTAATCGAAATGGAAGCAGATTTGACCTATATATGCAGTAAATTATTTTAAATCGGTAGGTTTCTTTTTTTTAAAAAATAGCTTTTAATTGCTTCCTAACATGTCAAGCTTGTGAAATATGACTTAATTTTGTTTTATCGTTAAAAGAAAAAAGTTGGCTCGTGAGGGCCGGATATGCTTTTTGCATCAGAAACCCACCTCCTTCCAACCCCAGTCCTTTCCTTTCCTTATAAACTAGCTCTAACTTAATGGGAGTCACATTGGCAGATTGCATCGCATGAACCATTACCCTGGCACTCAGACCATCATAAAACTGACACCACCGTCATTTACAAATGGGTCAGAAAACTAGTGGGAGCTCTAGAGCATCATGGAACTGAAATTGTAACCAGTCAGATTTGAGAGACTGGGCTTCAGTTAAAACACAGCCATTGCAGTGCCTTTCGAAAAATGGGCTGCTTATCTGTGCTGCTACAGGACATTCACGAATTACATTAATGTGACTATTGCAGCTGGATTTTATGGCACACTGCTACGGAGAGAGTAGGAACTGCTTTCAATCATAGCAATCGAGTAGATAATTCAAATTCTGATCTCCCCCTACATCATTCAGTATGCAGTACAATCTTTGAATCAAAGTTTCCTTTAAAATTATAGCCTGGATTATTTTCCTCTGGATCCTCCTGGACTATTTCTAGTGTCTAGTTATATCAATATACTACTTCATTTAATGGCCATCATCAAGAATGTTATACAAAAAGACATTGTTTTCCCATTAAATGACCAGTTTATCACCAGTGGAACCGTATTTTTTAATGCAAGTTAGAAATGCAACATGATTTCTTTAGAACCACTAACAGAAGTTTGAAAGCATCTCATTAGAAACAGAGCCAATTCCTCCCTTAAGTGTAATATTGTGCTGTCTGAAATTAGTGTCAGAATGGGTGTGTATGAATTTAAACAGGATTGTCGGCAGCTTAGTCTCCCCCACCCCTCCACCACGGTAATAGGCCATTATTGACCTGGGGCAAGAGTCTGAAAAGCCACCAAGAATCAGTCATTAAAAAATACTTTTATGATCATTTAAACATTATTTTAATTACACAAATCTGATATTCCCCCCCCTCCCCTAAATTGTTGAAGCTATTTTTCAGAGGCTTGTTGCTGAGTGTTATCAATGATCAAACCATCAAACCACAGGAGGAAATTGTGCAGCAGGATTAAAAAGTCAAAGAATGCATTGCAAAATGAGGCCATGGCACAAATGATACTTGTTAATGACTGAAATCATAAATTACGACCCAAAATGATCACAGATGTATTACACAGAATCTCACCGCTGGGATCTCTGGGCTGTGGACTGCCTCTTTCATCCAAAAGCATTTATGGAAATGTGACAGGAGATCATTTACTGCATATTTAAAATTAATTTAAAGGTGCAATGCCTCTTTTCTGATGCTACTGTCTCGCCAAAACACTGCTAAATTCATAATCAAGCAATTACAGAAAATAACGGTGATGCCTTTACAAGCACATTTGAAATGCAGCTCTTGTTTGACAGCCAGCCAATGAACAATAGCTAACAGAGAGCAAGAGGTTATCTTATCATTGGAAATTCCTGCTGGAAATCAATGTGACCTCTGGTACTGTCATCCCAATTCCCACCCTCAATGCACTGCCTGTCCTATTTGTCTTCTTCGAGAAGCTCAATCTCATGTATGATCTTCTGCTGCCTCTCCTGGGGCAGATTATCAGAATGAATCATACCCAGACTACTTCCACAGGTCTATTTATTTCCTTGTGTTGATGGGATCCTGTCTGAGGAAGGGGAGAAATATCAATTCAGTTAAATGACAACCTCTCTTGCAGACTCACAATGTAGACAGGCGTAGAAGTACAGCAGAAGCCACTGAATTGTACTGCAGATGTTAAGGTTGTAACTTAGATCTTGGAGGGGAAAAAAGAGTTTATGCGATGGTCAAATGTGAATGAATAGGTTATGAAAAGGACAAATGGGTGTATGTCATGATTTGGTCACGTTTTGAGCTGATCTCTTGTAGTGAGGAATTATATAGTGATGTACACACTGGTGTATTATCAACACTGCAACTTGGACAAGATTGCAGCTAATTTCACAGTAGAATCAAAAAGAACAGAATTAAAAAGTTATACTACACTTAAAAAAACACTGAGCAATAGTTTCCACTTAAGAGGAAACATACGGTGTTGCCCACACAAATGGATTTTCAGCTGTGTTCCAGCACCAGCAGTGAGATGATTTTCACCCACACTCAAATAAAACACCAGGGAACTGGTATGGAGGCTGTGGAAGAGGCTGGTCACTGTAACACATAGATGTTGGACTTCTTCCCTGCCCTAGAAATGGCTTATTGTTACAGATGGCCTGCAGTGTATGCCACACCAGCTGAAAGCAGAGCTCAGAATAACAATACTTGCATTTGATTTAGCACCTTATCGATTCTTCGAGACATCTCAAATCGCTTCACAGAATACACTAAAGTGAATTGACTGTATATTTTGTGGGCGAAACATGGCAGCCAGTTGTACACAGCAGTGTTCCACAAACAGTCGTGGATTGAAGTGACCAAATTATTTTTTTAAAAAATGTTATATTCAAAGGAATTATTTATTTTCCCTGGAAAAGCGATCTGCCAATCGACTAACATCAGAGTTCCTGCTTACTGCTAGGTAAACAGAGGCGTGTGGAGTAAGGAAACTTACCCAGCATTTCGCCTTGACAGGAATCAAATCCAGGTCCACTCGCTTGTGAGGCGAGTGCTCTTACCACTGAGCTACAGGAGTCCACAGAATTTATGCTATTTGCAACATTAAAGGGTAAAGAATCAAACGTGAAAAAAATTTGTAAACCAGTGACAACAACCTACATTTTTTCAAATTAAATGTTTTAAAAAAAAAATATTGAATTTCCAAAAGATTCTCGGGTTCTTACCATTTGCCTTAAGCCCATGATTCTAATTTCTATTAGTAGCTAACTTTTCGCATGACCAGAGCAGAAGCAGGAAAGTCTGCCTGAAATATTTCATTACAGATGATGGATATCAAAGAGCTAACATACCATTTTTATGCTCCCCAATGTAAACATCTTATTTGTGTTTGAGTTAAGGGGTTACACTAACACGGTTTTAGGATTAGAACTGCATTGTTATCAGGTTGAAAAATGAGAAAGCAAAGGGCCCCTTTCTTAATTATAACTGACATCTTTGCTACAGCTTTAATATTTTTCTGCTTGAAGTATTTGTGCAAATTTCTGTTGCTTCAAGGCTGCTCTATGATTTGAAAACACAAAACAAGAGAGGGGGAGAGAGTTTAGGGAAAACATTTATTGGTTCCATTTGAATGAGCTTCAATAATATCCTTGCTGACTTTGCACAAGTCACTCTTTAGAAACACTTAAGGAGCCAAAACAACAGAAAGCTGACAATCAAGAATATTATAGCAAAAACAAACTACTTAGGATAAATAACCCTTCTGAGAAATGAGTGTCCTTTGGAACTTCTAAGCAGAAATCGCTTTTACTTTTCTGTGAAGCCTCCAGAACAAAGATCTATCATCTAAGATGTTAAAAGCATCCATAGAACTACAGAGAATTACCCTTGTTCTGTTCATGGTGTTTGTCACAATAAGTCTACAACTTATTAAAATTATTTATTTTCATACAGATTTACTGCTGCACTTCTCAAAGGCTAACCTTATATGCTATTGCACACCATATGATGCAAACTATTCTCTGGCTATTAGCAGCAGTTCTGGTAGGCAATCAACTGCACAAAATTAATATGACCTTGTGTTTTACTACTAATGTTTTCTTTACATTTCCAATTTTCAGACTGCTTTGCAATGAATTATTTCATTAGTGGCAGCAGTAAATTGAACAACAGTGCTGGTTCAGGGAATGAGCATGGCCAGGATTTGTAAATATGTGTGGATTCTTGTGTTTTTGCTTGGCACCTTGACAGATATTTTGCACAGCTCAAGCAAAAATCTGAAGTGCACTTTTCAAATGACAGGAATATGTTTAATAAAAATGACAAGCAACTTGAAAGCACCAGGAGAGAGGAAAAAAAGGTTACTTTATCTTTTTGAATTATTGGATTAGAGGTAGATAAATCAAACCGGTTGGCTTAGTAAAAAAAAATGTCCTGAAACAAGAACAATCAACATTATTGATCGCCGATCAACATACCACCACATCGCAGCCTTTAACTGTGGTCCAGTACTTTATAATGGTTAGCTCAGTTTCACTGAACAAACAATAGCTGAGAAGTACATTTAATTCAGCCAATGTTCTCCTTTTTCAGATTATTTTTGTTTTACTAAGACACCTCTCCTTTACTTGGGATAATAAGACAGGTGAATCTGGAGAATTTTCCAGCGCTTGTGTTGCTACATCTCAATCAACCTGCAAGAATTGCAATTCAAATGTCAATTCATTTGACCTCATCCTTACAGAATATCCATCCTACCATCTTCCCATCACAGCATTATGCTTTTTTTAAAAATATATAAAATGAGTCCAGTTTCCTGGCCTCAACCACTCTTCCTGGTAACCTATTCCAGTTGTTAATTACTCTTTGGGTAAAGAAATACTTCCTAGTGTCTGTCCTGAAATTGCCCTTTGCAACTCTAAACCTGTATCTTCTGATTCCATTGTCTTGGAGAATTTGAAAGCATTGTGTTGCTTTACTTTTTCAATCCCATGTAAAATTTTCCATACCTCTATAAAGGTTCCCTCTGAGACATCTTCTTTTGAGACTCAAGAGCTTCACGAGTCAATCATTGATCATAGCTCATTCCTCTAACCCCGAGGATCATTCACTCCTCTGCACTGCCTCTATGGCCCAGGCAGCTGACTTATGTTGCCAGAACTGTGCACAGTACTCTAGGTGCTGTCCCACCAGAGCACTATATAACTGGAGTGTGATATCTAGGGATCTGAGCTCAAGTGTTTTAGCAATATACCCCACCATCCTTTTTACCTTCTTTATTGCTGCCTCAAACCGACACTAACCTTTCTTGTTCACTCCCAGGGCAAAGGTGAATGGTACAATTATACAAACCGTGTCATTCGAATTGATCTCTGCACCCAAATATTTTTCTTGCACATACAGAAAAGTAACAAATGTAATATAATTCCCCTGATAAAGGGCTTCTTAAGTTCCCAGCTGTGTGCTTTCATCTCCCCGTAATAAATGGGTAATTTGTTCAGTCAGCCATATCCAAAAAAGATCTACAGCTAAAGAAAAATCATCATTTTATCCTTTTTTAAAAATATATAAAAGGAAGAGAATAGCTGAGTAGATTTAGGAGAGTGAGCAGAGCTCCTGGAATTTTGCAATTTTCACATCAGAAGGGCTAATATACTGAACCACTCATCACAATAGAATTGTGTTTGGCATCACACAATGGCCTTTTCACCTGTGCAGCAAACTTCCTGATGCAACATCAACCATTTTTAATAAATTGGAAACAGGGCAAAATGTATTTTCTGTATTGTAGGTAACAGCAGATGGTCAGAGGATTTAGTACAGATGTGTTTTGATTCCCATGATGGTTTGGGCGTATATGTGCATAATACATTGTTGGTCTCAAATTAACTCATATAAAGTACCATATAAAGCTTGTAAGTGATCCTCACAAGTACATTATTCCATGCACGATCAATGAGAGTAAAGGTATTAAGACTCAGGAATATATGGTGGATGGGATTTTCACGTTATTGATACTTGCTATGTTACAGATAAATTCAAGTCTCAGTTTTAAAATTATGATCACATATTGCTCAATAAGGCTGATTCGGGTGCATGTAGATTTTTTCCTGTTACACATGCTTATAGTTTTTTATAAATTACTTTTTTTTTAATGTTGCAGATGAGACACAACTTGTGATGCCAGCAATCAGAACCAGCATTGAGAAGTTTCACATGGCTGGACAGGCTTTGCCCCCTGGGTTCCCAGCACCATTTTTATTTGCTGACGGATTGTCTTCAATAGAAACTTTACTAACGAACATTCAGGTAAACCTGGGCAACATTTAGCTGCTGCTGTGTAATGCGGTTGGGGGAGTGGGTGGGGGGGGGGGCAATCATGCTCTACAATGGTTGTGGCTTGGCATCTATACAAGTTCACATTGCTTTTAAGTGCTAAAATGAATACTGTCCACATGTCTGTCTATCAATATTATGTTTGCCAATTTGAAGAAAACTGGATTTTGTTCGAGTGACCGATTTTAAAAAAGCAAATCCTTGTATAGTTTAAATAGGATAATCATAAATATGAAGCCTTTGACAGCACTGAATTGTTTCCTCATCCCAGGATATGAGTTGGTGGAAAAGCACCTAACTGGGCATACAGGCATGAGGAGCGGTGAACTTTCATTAAATTTTTTCTTTTTCTTTTTTTAAATTAAATTAACTTTTTCTCTAGTTAATGTCCAGCATCCAGCTGCTAGAAAAGTATGTAGTTTTGTAGGAAGAATGTATTGGCAGATTGCTAGTGAAATAGATCAAGTTCAATCATAATGGCTGATACTCCATTGCAGTTTGGAGTTTTTAAAAATCTGAAATAGAACATTGCAAACAAACAGGAATACACCGTTGATTTCAAACAGGGAATAGGGGCGTTTTTGTGCTCTTGAAACATAGTGACAAATTCTAGTCGTCATTTTGTTAAAAAGTTAATAAAAGGAAAATAATCTGATTTGGGCAGAGGGATAGACGATAATGCAGTTCACAAATTCCTGTTCTAGGAATCCTGATCATATTTCAACCTGTGGATTACCATCTCTCAATGAGGATGATGGTTGAGGAATCCACAGGAAATTTTTTTTTGAATTTACAATAAAACAAATTATGAAAATAAAAGTTTTAAATATAATTGGATAATTCAAATTGAATTGCGGTGAGATTTAAATACTGGTTTTGTCGAGATCCTTATCAAATTGGATTATCTATATTTTATCGCATCAAATTAAATCCTCTCTTGGGTTACATCCAAATATGCTTTGGGTACAATCAGCCTCATATATATTCTATCTAGGATTTACAGGATAGACCCTCAGAACATCTTATTTTTGTTTTTAATCTTTATTTTCTCTTCCTCATTTGAAGTTGCTAACTCATATATAGCACAGTTCCATTGGCACCAGGCGGCCTCATCTCCTCACTGGCTGAGTCACTAAAACTAATTCTTGTACTCCGGGCTGGGTTAAGCTAACTCTGCACAGACTGGGAATTCAGCTTGCAACTTGTGGTTAGTTGTACACCCTACGCCTTTAAGAAATGATATTTATCTTTGTGGCTGAAACTGGCCAAGTTATCTTCAACAGTTTCAATTCTGAATGATAATATACTTCAAGCGGGTCACTTATTTAGCTTGACCATATTTCAATACTTTTCCTCAATGTAATGAAAATAATCCTGTAAAATGTGTCTTCAGTAGATGAACAATTTCTTTAATGTATGAGAAACCTAATTCCCTCCTTCAACAAAAGGCCAAATTATTGAAAGCAGTGATGCAACAAATACAGAAAATTGCAGTTAATAATGATTAATTATGTCATTAGACACTTAACATCTCACATTTTGCATTGCATAATATATACCATTGAAATGACCTCACTCCAATCCTGAAGAAACATGATTCTACTTTGTTCATATCATCGTACTGCACAAATATATTTGGATAAAGTCGGAAATAAATCCTCCTAAAAACAGGCGTTTTAGTGGGGTAAGAAAGGATTGCATTTGACGTTATTTTATCAATGGTTTTAAAACAGGAAAAAAAGAGAAAAGTGAGGATCTCTCATTTCAACAGCAACAAAATACATTTGTATAGCGCCTTTCAAGTCAGGAGGATGTGAAAGATATAAATTTCAATTTATATCGACATTTTTACATTCAATTTAAAGGCTGTAGAACAAGGGTGATGTTTTCAGAACAGAAAAAAAATGGACTCAGAATGTTGGATTTAGTTATATTGCTGGTGATTGTGGTGGAAGTTCTTAACTGTCCAAGTGTTTGCGGCCTTAATACTAAGCATTCAGCATAATGGAATTTTATTTAAAAGCACAGATGACAGCATTGCTTTCAATGGCCATGATCTCAAGGGGAATGAAAAGTTGTAGAAGTCACTTCATGAAATTACACTGATTTGTGTAGTATAACTAGTGCATTGGGACAATATTTGGCTCTGTAACTAAAGTCGGACACTGAAACATTGGGAGAGTTTCAGAAGTAATTTAGGTTTTAAAAAAAAGGAAATTGTTGGCTAGGTCATGAGACATTTTCCTCAGGAAATGACATCTCATTTGAAGATAACTGGGCTCAGGATAATCTGAGGCATTTACAGATTTAGAATCTATTTCCATAAATTACAAGCAACACGAATGCCAGAAGAATCATTTCTAGCAATAATCTATAGTTGGGCTTGAGTTGTCACAAATGTTTAAGAATCAAGCACCAACGGACTTCAGTGAACATCATCTTTAATCGATTAATAATTACATCATCCTTTATTCTACTTCTAAAATGTGTTGATCTAAATGATGTTGATCCTAATATGCATTTGTTCAGCTAGGCATAGAGCTCTGGCTTTACTCCACTCAGAATAAGGCAATTGGGTAGTACAGATATAATTATGAGTTTGTTTAGACAGATTACATTGCCTTGTACAGTATAACTAGGGCATAAGTGTCACATACATTTTGAAAGGCATGCTACAGTATTATTCTAGGTGACTGAAAATCCATAATACAAGCTGGGTTGTATATGTTGAGAATGGAAATTCATGGAAATAAAATCACTTTCTATTTTAGAGGAAAGTGATCTTAAAACAGATTTTCAAAGAGATTCACTTTTTTTACTGGGTTGATGAGTAGTCCTGTACTTAGCCTGGGAGCAATCTTTGCAAAAAAAAATATCCATTCCTAACTACTGTTGGCTTTCCTTGACCTTTGGAAATGCATATGGTCAATGATGAAAATATTCTCATTTCCATTCTGTGGGGTCTTTATTGATTTACTATATTACCGCCTGAATTTACATGCTGTGCTGTGGTTGCACAGGGTCTGTTGAAGGTGGCTGTAGACAATGCACGTGTGCAGGAAAAGCAGATACAGCAGGAGAAGAAAGAACTCAAGCTGGAGCTCTTCAGGGAGAGAGAAATGAGAGAAACTTTAGAGCGGCAACTTACTGCAGAACAGCATAATAGAGGTGAGTCTGGTGGATGTTGTGATGCAATCGAACCAGGGGGATGATACAAGTATTTGACTGTTTGGTTAGGGAGCATCAACAGCTCCAACAACACAGAAATGGATGGTAGAGTTCAATGACCTTACTGACGAGCATCATATAGTCATGATGTCTTCACAAATGTGTCACGTTGCCAAATATATTCCCAGTGACGCTCAACTCCAGCAACAATATTACTCTCGCTTCCCTCAGGATAATTATTTTGATAAGCAGGTCCCAGAGAACTAGACAGAGCACTGGTAAGAACAAGAGGAGCCCTGAAAATTCTGCATCACTCCAGTGATTTGTGTCTAAATATTTGACAAAGTGAAGCCAAAAATATTTCAAAAATATTTTGGAACAATCCAGAGGCCAAATAAAAAAATACATTACCACACGTCATTGTATCTGACACGACCATAGCAAATAGAAATTGATGTGGTTTTCAATTTGTGAAGTATAACCTTGTTCTGACATCTAAGTACTTTAAGCATTTAAGTACATTATAGAGATTAAAATTAGGTTTCATTAAATTGCAGTTAACTTTAGAATTAATGCATACACAATTCAAGCACAGCTTTGGAATGCACTGAATGACTTACAATCACCCCCATTGTATTGCACAACTGAAGTTGATGCTGATATGAAACATCGCTCAGTTCCTTTTTTCTTAAAAACAAAAAGCTCTTCAAGTCTGGACATTATGACCAAACTGAAAAAAGTAATCTCTGACTTCAAGGCCGCCTGCACTGTGGGACCAGCCACCAGAAGGTGGATGGAAGCAGTGCTGGTTATTGTACCCCATGACTTCATTCCCTCTGGTTACACCAGCCTTTCGAGCCCTGAGATTTACCACATGCGAATTCTTGGTTGCGAAGCCACATACCATCACTTTGCAGCACAGCACGTTAGAGCAGCAAGTTAGTCACTCATCAAATTATCCAGATTTTAATGCTGAGCACTAAATAAAACCAAACCACAAGCGCACTTCATCCAGACACAGCAGCGTACTTTCAGAAGTCCGATCTGATTTATGTAAAATACAGGTTTACGCTTAGATTGAATGGTCAAAAGTGGTAGTCATTTGCAAATTAGCTACTTTTTATCTGCAGCTTGTGTCAATATGCAGTCAAGCACACAGTTCTTGGCAAACTACTTATAGGTTTATCAGGATTCAACTGTATTTATTTGGTGCCATACATGTGGTCTGATAAGCTAGTGGTGTACGACGAATGAGATAAGACTCCTGTTGCTTTGTGGTTCAAAGTGAACACTCACTTCAGCCGCCATTTATAGTCCAAAAAGGCTCTATTGAAGTTTTTTTTAAAAAAAGCAGTATTGCATATGTTGAGAATCAAAGTGGCTTCAAAACTAGTTTCCCTTTTGTGATCTGGCCAATGGCTGACTTGACCAGATGCAGATCTCTCCTTTCACCTGTATCTCACTCATTCCAATTTAGGCATAGAATTAATCATGATTAATTTGTGCATTTTGGAATTCTAAAGCATTTCACGATAGTTTAATGTAATTGTTCATCTCAAACTCTGGGTGAAGATCAGATTGCTCTTTTTATAACATGACCAAGCGATTTGAAGTTTAATGTTTCCGGGCATCAGGTCACTAATATCCAGAATCTCCTTTTTCCCATATTAAATCGGTGACTCTACCAACATTGTCTGCCTGATTTTGGAGTCTTGGGGCAGATGACTTCTATCCAATTAAATAGCTTATGTAATTAAATGAGAACTTTATGAACAGGAAATTAATTCCCAGTGGGGAATTCGTTTAGCAACCATTCTTGATCACAATACCTATTTACAATGATAAAGCAAAATCAGCAGCAATGGCATTACGGTTTGAGTAGTTTTGCGATACAATCCAGACACATAACATTTGTGTTAAAAATTGTTGGAAGCCGGGGTATGAACGCTACTTAATGTGAAGTTTTTTTTTAATATGCCACAAAAATCTTTGTACTATAACCCACTTTCTATTCTTTTAAATTAATTTTTCTATTCTTACTACACCAAAAAAAACTTGTAGTGTGTATTTTTTAAGGAAGTTCTATTTATGAAACAACGCATACACTGCACATTATTCAGTAATTGCAGCACGGATATTGCTCCACATCATTTTCCGGGAGAGAAGCTGCTTTGCTCTCAGCTGTATAACCACATTACAATATTTTTGACTAAGGCAGTGTGCTAATGAAAATTATTGCACATAGATAGGCAGGGCTGCTGTAAACGCAATACAGTAGATTTGCTGCACAAAACATTACTGTCAAACAGCTAACCACTAGATTTTAACTTTTAAGAGTTGTCTGCAATTTGGAGGCATAAATCAAAGTACATCTTCAGCACAAAGCGCTGTCCTTTCCCAAATAAAGTTATTGATTGTGTTTAATTGAGATATTATCTATCTAATTATGTACAATGAAACAAGAAAATACTGGAGATAATCACCGAATAAAGTAGAATTCTTAGTTTTTTATGGTTTGTATTTATTTTAATCAATGAATCATATCAACCTCACGGCTTTAAACCTGTCCTTGGCTATTTCAGCAACAATTCAAAAGCGACTGAAGAAAGAGAAAAAGGCAAAGAGGAAATTACAAGAAGCGCTGGAGTTTGAGTCAAAGCGACGGGAACAAGTGGAGCAGGCTTTACAACAAGCAACGTCCTCAGAAAATCTCAGGGTTCTCAATGGTACGACTAATGTTTTATGCCGAGCTAAGTGACCAAACTTGGAGGGCAAGCAATCACTTCATCAGTTGGCTCAATCCCCGGGCAGGCCATCGTTTGATTTGAAACTAAAACATGAATTAAGATCAACAATTAAACATTGCTCTATAAAAAGGAGAAAAGAAATGCACAATTTCCAGATACATTTTGAAGAATTAAATTAAAGTTCCTACAGTTTGCAATACAGACAATACGAATGCAAATATTGGGGCCAAAAAGACCCAAAGTTCACAATTGTAACCCGAGAAATGTTAGTCACATGGAATGACTGTTTATATAGCAGGCTAAGGTTTTGATCCTCATTGAACCATGATACTCAGCTTTTGAAGTTCATTTCCCAATACAAATTTAAGCTTATTGATTTTTTTTTGCTACAGGGGAAAGTGAGGCACACTCTTACCATAATCTTACATAGGGGGTTTATACGATGATTGATTGCTTAGTTATGGATGGAGCAACCCATGCAAACAGCAGAAGTGAAGAAATATAATGTGCCGATTTGTTGCCTTGATTACTGTGTCAAATGCAAATAAACATTGCCTTTCAATTGAATAACACTCAGCAAAACATTGGAACTTTAAAATCATCTACAGCAGAAGATGAAAAGTCATCATAGGAACATCCTGAAACAAAACCTTTATTAATATCCTCTCTGACCTAAGTGCCACACAAAACTGTGGAAGCAACAGTTTAACGATGATTTTCACACATCCTTTGTGGCTTAAAGCATTTAGTTACATTTACGCAATAAGTCTGCCAAGTGAAGAATCCGCTGCAGCAGAACATGAACTGGTAATTGCTATGCATTGCTGGTTAGCTCAAAAACGGTGGAATCTCAGATTCATTTTGCCAGCATAGCCTAGTCTCATCATTCCAAGTATGGTCACACCAGAAACCACACGGTGTGAACATAATAACAAATGAATGAATTGATTTTGCACATGTCTGTGACTCATTTCCAGATTGTATTATAGCTTTTCATTATGCATAATGAACACATTTTAATTATAGTCACACGCATTCTGATGTGTGTAAAAATTAGCCATGGAACATTATGCACGTTGTGGATTTGATGGGATCAGAGGTTAATAGAGTTACTGAACTGTTGGAAGAAAATCCTTTTGCTCATTAGTGATCACATGATAAGCTGCCACACAACTCAGGGCTCACTCTTTTTCCTGAATCAACATATTGTATTTCCGACGCACAAGGATTTCTCAGTTTAAATAAAACAAAATCTGCTGGTTAAAAACAGATCCCAATGATTTTAACCTTCCTGCTTTTTAGATGCAGTAATGCCTGAGATAGAAGCTGAACACTGTGGCACTCAGCTCGAAACACCAGCAGTACCAGGTAGGCAAATGTTCCGGGCTATTTTGTTCATTGAGATATTGATGCATTTCTCAAGTTAAAAGGCTTGGGACTGAGGTGAAAGAGCTAAAGGTTTTCAAATGGCATTACCTGCCTTCACAGGCAGACTTCACCATCGAAAATGTTGGAGTAGGGGTCGGGGGAGCAGTTCCAACACATAATAAATAATAAATTAATAAAGCAGTTCCAACACATCCGATGAGATGAAGTTGAATGCACCTCTCAAACCATCCATTGTCAAATTAGTGCTTTTATTTTAAATTTTACATCCTTGAATTCCAATTTTCTCCCATTTGTTCATCACACATTCTGCTCCTATAGGAAAAAGGGAAACAGTTTAAGCCATTGACCTTCACAACAGGCATTCCTTGGTAAATGCGACAGGAGGCTCAATTCAAAGTCGCCCAATGAATTGTTCTCCTTGTAACAGAGAACCCTGAACCGAACACAACGTGTACCACACCATCTCGGATCCAATTCCTTTTTTTTAAGGCAGGCAGATTTGAATGACCAATCTCAACACTCAAGTCTGCAATCTTCTGACTCGAAGGCTATCCATTTTGATCATATACAAATTTCGAGGACAGGGTGGCACTGTGGAAAGGGAATGAATGGTCTTATGCCTGAGGCTATAGGGTTTTGCATCATACGAGTTTGCAAGTGGATGCAAGTCTTCAACACAAAGCCAATAATATAACACAAACTGGCAAGTGAGGAGATTTGACAAAGGGCATTTGTTTAAGAGCATCTCATTTGTGGCAGACAATATGGGCCAATGATTGCCTTCTATATTGAACCTTTCTGTGTTCTTTGTTAAGATTGGGACTCAGACACACCTAGTTGAAAAATGCAGGCAGGAGTGGATTCTTAAAATGCTCTTTGTTTCAAAATCCTCTCTTCATTGAATAACCGGAGGCTAATATTCTGAGAATTTGGAATATTAATATGGTTAGTCGGATTGGAAACCACAGCAGAAAGCTGCTGAATACAGGAATGGGAAATAAACAAATGATTTCATTTTTGTGGTTTTAGTCCAATGTAGAAATACTAAAGCAATTCCAAAAGGGTCAGAGGTTAAATGGAACAGAAACTGTAACAGAGACAGGTAAAATAGATGACATGAGGCAGTTCTCTGCTGTCAGAGCCTTGAATCCCCTCAGGATTTTATTATTTGAAGTCAGCTTTCCCAAATGTAATTCACAGATGGCAAAAACCGATTGAGAGATTTTTATACATTTATTTGTTTGTATTTTCCCATAGGAAAAATCTTTGTGCACACATGCTGAATCTAGATTTATGTCTCATTACAAGTGACATGCAGAAATCACACAAACATTCACTGTGGGTCCCTTCTTTCTTGCCTAAGCTTCCCGTTCAATTGTTTCTCATGTTCCTGGCTCCTTCTCCGTCCGTACAAAGAGTTCCCAAACACTTAAAGGAAATGCCAGGAAAATAAAATTCCTTATCCCTGAAGCTTCCCTTCAGTCTATTACCAGGGTATGAAACTTCTTTTTAAAAAAACTCAAAACAGTTATATTTTTTTCAGCCATGTAGTCTTTTGATTCATTGCCATTTTGTGGATCAATCTGGTTAAATTAAATCAGCGGGATAACTGAGTTTATTTTCCTCTTTATCCCTCCCAATTTACATCCGCATGCATTATTCCATTTAATATTTCTCGTTCACTTGTTCCCATACATCTAAAGCAAAGCCACAGGCGAAAAATTTTTAATAAAAAATTATGCCTTCATAGTTTTTCTTAATAAATGTGTTTAACTGGATACTAAGTTGCAACCAGATGAGGTTTGCAGAATTTACTGTGTTTGCCTTTAACAAATCTCCAAAAGTGAAGCATCCAGTGACACAGCTTAAGTAAATGACTCGAAGTGTTACTATAATGGAAATCTTTTGACTCTGACCTCTTCGCTGACCCGTGTGTTTATGTAAAGGCTCTCAATGCAGCACTAAATCTGGTCTGTTGAGAAGTTTATGTTCGAATTTTTATTCTTGTTTATTTTCCATTCTGTAAAAATATTTGTTGAACTGATCTGATTCATAAGGAGCCCAAACACAGACTCCACAGATGTAAAGAATCATCGACTGCAATAAAGAGGTGCACAGACTGGGCAAAAAGAAGGCAGTTTGGATCTGACCACCAAGGCTCATATAGGCCCTTCCAGTGGGGCAAGAGCTTGGCAAATGATCCTCAAAACGTCTAATATTCCTGGTTGGGAGGGGGTGTGTGAAAGACAAGCCAAAGTGTTCCATGTGAAATAATCCTGCTGCATATATTATAAACGTCTGTCTTTAAACAAAACTAAATTTCACAGTAAATCAAACTTGCCAGAGGTGGTTATTTCATATCAATACAAAACTAAAAATCTTCATTCATTGCCAAGTTTCAATTTGGTAACGAACTGAAAACAAAAATTAAACAAATCTGAAATCTGCAAATCGAGCATAGTTAGACATTGGCTGTGATGCCTCAAATAGCTAATATTCCAACCTGCTTGAGATTCACACCGTCCTTATCACAAGGGTTTTCTAACTTCTGGACAGGCAGGGTTCAAACTGGATAACTGTCTGGAACTTTACTAGATTTTGAAGGGCATTGCATTTTCCCTTCCTAAAATTAACATCAGGTGGAAGAATCTAAAAAAAAAAATCAACTTTCATATTGTATTAGTGTTTTTCTAAAAACATTGGTTTTATCTCACATACTCACCATACTCATAGGTATCGACAGAGAAACTTAACAGGGAAAAAGGGAACAGGAGAAATAATAGGTAAATTACTATTAAACGTGGAAACAACAGTTGTCAAAAATAAAGAGCACCCGAACAAATATAAGCCTTAGAAACATGCACATTAATTAACTGGAAACACAGGGAACCATTTTGTCAAACTAAGAAGTTTGAGCTGGAGCACGATAATAATCCTCACTTTTTGATTTGTCACCTTATCATGTTGTTGAGTTGGCTCAAAGTGCTTCACAGAATTTTACTGTAAAGCGAGGTGATATTTGACAGCATTGTATTGTGTTGCAGTAGGACCTGCTGGAGGCTGTTGTCAAACCCGAGTTCAGGTTTAGTGTTGGTTTGAGAGGTTGTTGAAATAAAAAACAGTGACTGTTCTCTTGTTTCCTTCGCACTATTTTAATTTTAGTGCTGGACCTGGTCGTCCTCTGGTTAGCAGCTTGTACTGTTACTGTTCAAATCAGAGAAGGCTGAAGGGCACGTTTTTTTCTTCTTTTTAAAAATAATTTGCCCTTAACTCGTATTTCAGTATTTGACCAACTCTGCAATCGGGATCCAGAAGTGCTTTGGCTTCCTTGAATTTAAACAAATAGTTGAATATGTCAATTTAAGCGTTTTGACTGTTACAAGGAGAGTGTCATCTTTAGCGAGCGGGAGCAGCTCTGGACACTGAAATCCCTGGACTACATTAAGCACTTTGACATTCAAACTGTTCCTTTAGCATCCCCATAGCAACATAGTTAGCCACTGTAGTGGGATATAAAGGGCATAATACTAGGAGAGATGAATTACATACTGGGGTTCTTTCATGAGTGTGAAACACTCTTTTGTCACTCATGAGCTATGAGGTCTTTCTCAGTAGTTAACCCGCATTTTCAACTCGGTTCAAAATGCAGCCCGACTCTGTGAATGTTAAATGAAAGGCAAGAAAACAATGTAAAAGAAAATGTGGCTATTGTATGCAAAACCAAGTCTGAGCAGGGCTTGTTTTATTATGACAGGCCATACAATTTGCTGGAGTGAGTTATTGTGCATCGCTCTGTGTGTTGTAGATCTGCCGCCGCATCAGTCTCAGAGATGTTATCCATTTAGAAAATGGGTGAGGGCAGTGGTTTGACACTGGCTGACAAATGTGACACTGCTCACTTTGAACAGTCTTTGCTTTGTTGCTTTTTTTTAAAAAAAAGGAAATGTATTTTTAATCATACTTTCATTGATCTTAAAGTATATATTAAAAAAAACTGACTGCGACAATTGTGCAGGTGATTCAGGCTCAGTTTGCCTGCTGCTTTTTGTTTTAAATGAGGCCGCTGAAAATAATAATGGTGACATTAAACTAATCTAATTTTTGTACAATATTTATAGCTTACTACATTCGACTTTCACCAGGGAGTCAGGGAATTTAGGATGAGCTAGATCACCTACAAAATACAGTCACTAAACATCACAATAAATCCTGTGAAGTTCATTTAGACATCCTCCCAACATGAAAGGAGCTATATCAAATGCAAGGATTTTAATTCATAGACGCAATGAGAGTTTGTCCTCCTTGAATATGTCCCAAGTGAGCCCTGGAGCATCCTCTACTGCATAGTGCAACTTGTCCTACATGATCTCCTTTGCAAGCAGTGCAAAGACCCCTTTTTATAAAAGACTTGCAAGAAAAACTCTTGAAGCCCAGAGTACTGCCATCAATTTGGAACAACTGAAAAGAGCCAGTAGCTATTCTCAATCATTAAAGTTCTCACTGGTAGTAAGTAGTTCTCATAGCCCCTATGCTGGAAGACCTGCCATCCTCTATTTCACTATAACTTGAGCTCGCCCTTCACATCATTGTTCATCCTGTCGACAGTGCACCAATTGGCACACCATAACCACAACAACCTGACACTACTTGCTGTATGAAAACTTGTTTCTTTCAATGTCTGTAACATTCCAGTTTTACGTTCCAATGGGATTCCCATTAGAATAAATATGGACGAGAAATTATTATATAACATGAAGCACAAAAATAGTGCTTCAAGTCTGTCCTAGCGTTTGTCTCCATTTGAGCCATCCAGCATAATCTCGCTCAGCCGTTAGATTCCTGCCCCTCACATCCTATAATAATATTCGTCTTTCTCACGCATCTATTCTAATTCCCTTTAAAAGGGTTCTGCTTCAATTCCCTGGGTAGCCTTAACAACAGCATTTTCCAGGCTTCGTGTGAACTGCAAAATATTTTGA